AAGTCTTGTGACTCTCAATAAATAAAAACAAACACACACACACGAAATGATCTAAGGCAATTTAAGTTTCCCTTACATTGAAACACTTGCTATCCATAATCTGTCTTCTTGAGCATTCAGTTGTAACTCATATCAAATATTTATGACCCTTTATGATAGTAAAGTATTAGGCAGATACCAGAAAGTAAAGTGGAAAGCTCATTTTGATAAGCAGTAAAAGGACTTTACTCCCTTGGTTCTACCCATTTTGTCTCTTTAAGGTCTATTGAAGAGTAAAAAAGACACAGACTTGGAAATTGAGATTCCTAGTTTGAGTCCCCCACCCCTGCCCACTTATCATCTGAGTTGATCAATCTTGGGCAGATTGTTTAAACTCTCTAAGACTTGGCTTCCGCAAGTGTATACTTGTAATTGGAAATAACAAGACTTACCTCCTATGAGAAGTATTATACGTCAGGCACTGCTATTAGGACTTTATGTGTTAACTCGTTTAATCAGCTTTATGGAGATCCCATCTTACAGATAATGGAGCAGAGGCAAACAGTGGAAACAATTTGTCTTAAGTTACAAAGTCAATGATTAGGTGAAGACATGTTGGAAGCCAGACAGTCTGGACAATTTCAGAGCTTTATGTACCACTTTGCCCTACGCGTTATTCACAAAGTTTCTAGTACATAATAGGTTCTCAATCAACTGTAGTCACTTTCTCTGTTGTTTTCCAATTAATGCAAAGTCCATTATTAATAGTTGTTTGTCGAAGCTGAATTAACATTTTTTTATGGAGCAGAATTAACATTAGATGATTCATTACCTAATCACAGTATGATAATGTGATACCATGTTAGATAACATGTCACATATTGTGTTTTCTTTGTTCTGCACAGATGATGGTAAAAGGAGCTATCTTCCTCAGTGGACAAAAGGAAATCGGCAACAAAGGTATATATAATACATTCATTTTTAAAATATATACTCTAGATTCATTTTTTTAATTTGTAAGTAAATATAGCGATAGAGTCAGGAAATTAGGAAGAGCACCTTTTTATTTCAATTTGTCGACGAAAGGCTATGATTGGTATGGCCCAAGGTAAGCTACTAAGTATTTTGATGAAGGAGATTTTTACCTGTTTCTATTTTTGCCAGATCTTCAAGTACATTAAAGTGATGCCCCAAATCCCAGAACTGTTATTATC